GTATCTTTTCAAATTAGTGTTTCTGTTTTCTTTGGGTAGATAGCCCAGGAGTGGAGTTACTGGATGTATCATATGGTGATTCTATTTATTTTTTGAGGAAACTCCGTATGTTTTCCACAGTGCTTGCAACAATTTGCATTCTTACCAACAATGCACGAGTGTTCCTTTTCCTCCACATTCTCACCAATACTAATTATTTCTTGTCTTTTTAATACTAGCCATTCTCACGGGTGTAAGGTGATCTCATTGTGGTTTTGATTTGCATTTCCCTGATGATGTGTGATGTTGAGCATCTTTTCATGGGTCTCTTGGCCAGCTGTAGGTGTTCTTTGGAAAAATGTCTATTCAGGTCCTCTGCCCATTTTTAATCAGATTATTTGTTTTCTGGGTATTGAGTTGTAGAAGTTCTTTATATAATTTGGATATTAACTCTTTACTGGATATATCATTTGTAGATGTCTTTTGTTCACTGGGTTGCCTTTGGGTTTTATTGATAGTTTTTTCACTGTGCGAAAGCTTTTTATTTTGATGTAGTCCCAGTTGTTTATTTTTGCTTTTGTTTCCCTTGCCTCAGGAGACCTATCCATAAATATGTTGCTAAGGCCAATGTCCAGGAACTTTATTGCCCATGGTTCCTTTTGGAAGTATTACAGTTTCAGGTCTCACATTTAGATCTTTTCATCCATTTTGAGTTTATTTTGTGTATGGTGAGAGAAAGTGGTCCAGTGTCATTCTTTTGTATGTAGCTGTCCAGTTTTCTCAGCACCATCTATTGAAGAGACTGTCTTTCCCCCATTGTATATTCTTGCATCCTGTTGTAGATTAATTGATCATATAAATATGGGTTTATTTCTGGGCTCTCTATCCTGTTCCATTGATCTCTGTGTTTTTGTGCCAGTACCTTAGTGTTCTGATGACTACAGCTTTGTTGTTTATCTTGAAATCTGGGATTGTGATACCTCCAGCTTTGTTCTTTCTCAAGATTGCTTTGGCTGTTTGAGGTCTTTCATAGTTCCATACAAATTTCAGGATTATTTTAGTTCTGTGAAAAATGCTTTTGGTACTTTGATAGGAATTGTGTTAAATCGTAGATTGCTTTGGGTAGTGTGGACATTTTAACAGTATTACTGTTACTATTCCATGGGTGTGGTATATCATTCCTTCTGTGTCCTCTTTAGTTCTTTTCGTTAACGTCTTATAGTTTTCAAAGTACAGGTCTTTCACTTTCTTAAGTAAGTTTATTCCTAGGTATTTTTATTCTTTTTGGTGTAATTATAAATGTGATTGTTTTCTTAATTTCTTTTGCTGCCACTTCATTATTAGCGTGTGGAACCATGACTGATTTCTATATATTAATGTCATATTCTGAAACTTTGCTGAACTCATTTATTTTAATAGTTTTTTGGTGGGGTCTTTAGAGTTTTCTTTTCTTTCTTTTTTTTTTTTTAATGATTTTATTTATTTATTGGACAGAGAGAGATCACAAGTAGGCAGAGAGGCAGGCAGAGAGAGAGGGAAGCAGACTCCCCGCAGAGCAGAGAGCCCGATGTGGGGCTCGATCCCAGGACCCCAAGATCATGACCTGAGCCGAAGGCAGAGGCTTTAACCCACTGAGCCACCCAGGCGCCCCAAGTTTTCTATATATTGTATCATGTCATCTGCCAATAGTGATGGTTTTATTTCTTCCTTACCACTTTGGATGCCTTTTATTTCTTTATGCAGCAATTAGACAAAAATAAATAAAAGCATCTTTTTTAAACAACCCATTTTTATTTATTTATTTTTAAAGATTTTATTTATTTATTTGGCAGAAAGAGACCCAGTGAGAGGGGGAACACAAGCAGGGGGCGTGAGAGAGGGAGAAGCAGGCTTCCTGTTGAGCAGTAAGCCTGATGTGGGATGGGATCCCAGGACTCTGGGATCATGACCTGAGCCAAAGGCAGACGCTTAACGACTGAGGCATCCACACGCCCCTGAACAACCCATTTTTAGTTGAGTTGTTTATATCTTTCAGTATTGAATTGTAGGAGTTCTTTATATATTCTGGATCCTAAACCCTTGTGATACATGACTTGCAAATATTTTCTCCTGTAGGTTGTCTTTTCACTTCTTGATAGTTTTTTGATGTGCAAAATTTTTTATTTTGAAGTTTAGTTTATCTGTTTTTTTCTTTTGCTGTTTGTGCTTTTGGTGTTCTATCCAAGAATCTGGCCAAGTCTGAGATCATGAAGATCTTTTCTTCTAAGATTTTTATCACTTCAGGCCTTCATTTAGATGTTTGATTCATCTTGAGTTAATTTTTTTTTAAAGATTTATTTTAGAGAGTTCACATAAGCCGGAGGAGGAGATGAGGGAGAGGGGGAGAGAGTCTCAAGCAGACTCTCCACCGAGTCCAGAGCCTGACACAAGGCTCAGTCTCACAACCCATGAGCTCAAGACCTGAGCTGAAACCAAGAGTCAGATGCTTCACCGACTGAGCCACCCAGGTGCCCCCATTTTGAGTTAATTTTTGTATGTGTGTGAAGTACGCGTCCAGCTTATTTTTTTCCATATGCATATTTGCACACTTTAAAAGAAAATCTTATATTTTGGAATCTAAATTTTACAGTAAAGTTACAAGGATAGTAACAGAGAATTCCCATATATCCTTCATCCAGTTTCTTCTCATGTTACCATCCACCAACCATAATGTAAAGCTCAGAAATTACCATTGGTATGTTACTAATAACAACATTACAGACTTCAGTTGGATTTCATGAGTTTTGTCCTCCTTACTGTTCCAGGATCCCATTCAGAATATCACACTGCATTTATGTGATACTTTTTGACTAAATTTAATTCTTGATCATTTCCTTAGGTTAGAGCTGGAAAGCCTTTCTGACAACAGTGTTCACATCCCCTTTGCACTTTCCTGCTGCCTGAGCTAGTATTGAATCAGAAGTCGTTACCCCAATGGGGTAAATGTGGATTATATGGGTGATGGTGATGCAAGGGGGAAGAAAAAGTATTTAGAAGTACAAAAAGGCTGGTCAGATCTTGTGGGAAAATGGCAGAGCAAGTGGAGGAGGATGGCCATGCTAGCTCAAGATTAGCCAACTCACTGACCTTGACATACTGCTTTCCATCTAGGTTCAGTGTACAAAACCCGAGTGCAGAAAATGGAGACAACTTACCAAGGAAATCCATCTCACTCCACAGATAGCAAGGACCTACAGATGTGGTATGAAATTGAATACTACTATTAAGGTATGATCTCTGTCGGTTTTCCTTTGGAATTAATGAGTCGGTTAATTTAGTTGTAACTAAAGAGTGATGGTGTGTATTTTTCATTTATTGTATTGATCATTTTATTTTATTTTATTTTTTAAAGATTTTATTTATTTATTTGACAGACAGAGATCACAAGTAGGCAGAGAGGCAGGCAGAGAGAGGAAGAAGCAGGCTCTTTGCAGAGCAGAGAGCCCGATGTGGGGCCCGATCCCAGGACCCTGGGATCATGACCTGAGCCGAAGGCAGAGGCTTTAACCCACTGAGCCACCCAGGTGCCCCTGTATTGATCATTTTATTGGGATTGCATCAGACTATGTATAACAGGACCCCAATTGTGATGGCTTAACCAATTGGGACTTTTTTTTTTTTTTCTCATGATAAGCAGTTTGGAAATAGCCTGTCCAGGGCTGGTGTGGCTGCCCAGGGAAGTCTCTGTTCTAGTTTCCAGTCCCACCAGGAGATGGTTGCTGCGCTGTCAGCCATTGTGTGCAGATTCTAAGAAGAAAAGATGAGAAAGGCAGAGGCCGAGAAGGGTGCGCCAGCTGTGCTGCTCCCTCTTTTATTGGTAAAACAGTAGCCTTGCAGAAGTTCCAACAGTGGATTTCTCTTTACATCTCGTTGCTAGAACAGGATCACGCAACCGCTGTGAACAACAAAAGGAAGTGTAACTGAGCAAAATCAAACAAAACCAGGATCCTTTTAGTAAGGAAGAAGGGATGAATGGATATGTTTGGGCAATTGGGAATCTGACATAGTTGGTATATGGTATATATATATATATATATTTTTTTTTTTTTTTGACATGTGGCAATTAGTATTTAAAATGTCTAACTTGGGGCACCTCAGTGGCTTAGTGGGTTAAGCCTCTGCCTTTGGCGCGGGTCATGATCTCAGGTCCTGGGGTTGAGCCCCGCATCGGGCTCTCTGTTTGGCGGGGAGCCTGCTTCTCCCTTTCTCTCTCTGCCTGCCTCTCTGCCTACTTGTGATTTCTCTCTCTGTCCAAAAAAAAAAAAATTTAAAAAAATAAATAAAATGTCTAACTTTTTTTAATATTAGTTTCAGGTATGTAATCTAGTGATTGAGTAATTCCATACTTGGTACTCGTCATCATAAATGCGCTCCTACACACCCATCCTTCTTTCCCTTCCCCTACCTGTCTCGCCTCTGGCAACCATCAGTTTGTTCTGTATATTTAAGAGTCTATTTCTTGGTTTGTTTTTTCTTTTCCTTTGTTTGTTTGTTTTGCTTCTTGAACTCCACATACGAGTGAAATCATATGGTATTTGTCTTTCTCAGACTGACTTTTATTTCATTTAGCATATACTCCCTAGATCCATCCATATTGTTACAAAAGGCAAGATTTCATTCTTCTTTTGTGGTTGAATGATATTGCACTGTGTGTACATACCACGTCTTTATCCATTCATCTGCTGATGGACACTTGGGGTTCTTCTGTAATTTCGCAATTGTAGATAATACTGCAGTAAACAAACAAGTGTATGTATCCCTTTGAATTAGTGTTTTTGTATTTTTTGGGTAAATATCCACTAGTGCAGTTACCGGATCATAGGGTAGTTCTGTTTTTAACTTTTTTTTTTTTTTAAAGATTTGCTTTATTTATTTGACAGAGAGAGAGGCAGTGAGGGGGAAATGGGCTCTCTGTTGTGCAGAGAGCCCAATGCGGGGCTCGTTCCCAAGACCCTGAGATCATGACTTGAGCCGAAGGTAGAGGCTTAATCCACTGAGCCACCCAGGTGCCCCTCTTTTTAACTTTTTGAGGACCTTCCATACTGTTCTCCACACCAGCTGCACCAGTATGCATTCCCACCAACAGTGCAAGAGGGTTCCTTTTTCTCCACATCCTCACCAACACTTGTTGTTTCTTGTGTTTTTGATTTTAGCATTCTGAGAGGTGTGAGGTGATACCTCATTGTGGTTTTGATTTGCCTTTCCCTGGTAAATGATGTGGAACATCTGTTCATGTGTCTGCTGGCCATCTGGATGTGGTCTTTGCACAGATGTCTGTTCATATCTTCTGCCCACTTTTAGTTAGATTATTTTTTTGGGTGTTGAGTTGTATCGGTTCTTTATATATTTTGGATACTAACCCTTTTTCAGCTAAGTCTTTTGCAAATACCATCTCCCATTCAGTAGGCTGACTATTTTGTTGACTGTTTCATTCATTGTGCAGAAGAAGCTTTTTATCTTGATGAGGTCCCAATAGTTTATTTTTGCTTTTGTTTCCCTTGCCTCAGGAAACATGTCTAGAAAAATGTTGCTATGGCCAATGTCGAAGAATTTACTGCCTGTGTTCTCTTCAAGGATTTTTATGGTTTCAGGTCTCACATTTAGCTCTTTAATGCATTTTGAATTTATTTGGGTGTATGGTGTCAGAAAGCAGCCTGGTTTCATTCTTTTGCATGTAGCTGTTCACTTTTTCCAGCACCATTTGTTGAAGAGACTTTTTCCCATTGGATAGGTTTCCTGCTTTGTCAAAGATGAACTGACCGTGTAATTGTGGGTTTATTTCTGGTTTCTCCATTCTATTGATGTATGCATCTGTTTTTTTGTTTTTGTTTTTTAAGATTTTATTTATTTGACAGAGATCACAAGTAGGCAGAGAGACAGGCAGAGAGAGGGGGAAGCAGGCTCCCTCCTGAGCAGAGAGCCTGAAGCAGGGCTGGATCCCAGGACCCCGAGATCATGACCTGAGCCGAAGACAGAGGCCCAACCCGCTGAACCACCCAGGCGCCCCAATGCGTCTGTTTTTTGCCAGTACCATACTGTTTTGATTACTGTACCCATGTCATATAACTTGAAGTTCAGAATTGTGACACCTCAAGCTTCGCTTTTATTAAGATTGCTTTGGCTACTCAGGGTCTTTTGTGGTTCCATACAAATTTTGTGATTGCTTATTCTAGCTCTGTGAAAAATGCTGTTGGTATTTTGATAGGGACTGCATTAAATCTGTAGATTGCTTTGTGTAGTCTGGACATTTTAACAATATTTGTTCTTTCGATCCATGTGGATGGAATGTCTTTCCATTTCTTTGTGTCATCTTCAGTTTCTTTCACCAGTGGTTTACAGTTTCCAGAGTACAGGTTCTCACTGCTTTGGTTATGCTTATTCCTAGGTATCTTATTTTGGGTACAGTTGTAAATGGAATTGTTTTCTTAATTTCTCTTTCTGCTTCATCATTATTGACATATAGAAATGCAACAGATTTCTATAGATTAATTTTATATCCTGTGAATTTGTTGATCCATTCTAGCGGTTTTTTTGTTGTCTTTTGAGTTTTTTGTGTGTAGCATTGTGTCATCTGCCAACAGTGAAAGTTTTACTTCTTTCTTACTTATATGGATGCCTTTTATTTCTTTTTGTTGTCTGATGACTGTGGCTAGGACTTCCAGTGCTATGTTGAATAAAAATGGTGAGAGTGGGCATTCTTGTCTTACTCATCTTAGAGGGCAAGCTCTGTTTTTCCCCTTGGAGGATGGTACCAGCTGTGGGTTTTTCCTATGTAGCCTTTATTATGTTGAGGTATGTTCCCTCTAAACCTGCTTTGTTGAGGGTTGTTTTTTTTTTCCCAAGATTTTATTTATTTATTTGACAGACAGCAAGAGAGGGAACACAAGCAGGGGGTGTCGGGGAGGGAGAAGCAGGCAGGCTTCCCACCGAGGGGGAGCCTGATGCGGGGCTCGATCCCAGGACCCCCTGGGATCTTGACCTGAGCTGAAGGGAGATGCTTAACAACTGAGCCACCCAGGCACCTGAGGGGTTTTATTATGAGTGGATATTGTACTTTGTCAAGTGTTTTTTCTGCATCTGTTGAAATGGGACTATAGTAGTTACCCTTTCTCTTATCAATGTGACATATTACATTGATTTGTTAATATCGAATCACTCTTGCAGCCCGGGAATGAGTGTTCCTTAATCATGGTGAATGATTATTTTAATGTATTGTTGGATCTGGCTTGCTAGTATTTTGTTGAGGATTTTTGTATCTATGTTCATCAGAGATACTGACCTATAATTCTCTTTTTTTGTGGTGTCTTTATATGGTTTTGGTATCAGGGTAATAATGCTGGCCTCACAGAATAAATCTGAAAGTTTTCCTCTTTTTCTAATTTTTGGAATAGTGTGGGAAGAATAGGTGTTGACTCTTCCTTAAATGTTTGGTAGAGGGGCGCCTGGGTGGCTCAGTAGGTTAAATGACTGCTGTCAGCTCAAGTCATATCTCAGAGTGCTGGGATTGAGCCCCATGTCAGGCTCCCTGCCCAATGAGGAGTCTGCTTCTCCCTCTCCCTCCGCCTCTCCCCCTGCTTGTGCTCTCTCTGTTTCTCAAATAAAATCTTTTAAAAAAATGTAAAAAAAAAAGAAATAAAAAATAAATGTTTGGTAGAATTCAGCTGTGACGCCATCTGGTTCTGGATTTTTGTTTGTTGGGAGTTTTTATTGTTTTAGTTGTTACTGATTTGCTTTCTTTGCTGGTAATTGGTCAGTTCAAATTTTGTGTTTCTTCCTGCTTCAGTTTTGGTAGGTTATAGGTTCCTGTGAATTTATCCATTTCTTCTAGGTTGTCCAGTTTGTTGGCATATTGTTTTTTATAACATACCATTGCAATTATTTATATTTCCGTAAGGTTAGTTTTTATTCCTCCTCTCTCGCTTGTGATTCGGGTCCTTTCTCTTTTTTTCTCAATGAGTCCATCTAGACATTTATCAATTTCATTGGTTGTTTTTTTGGTTTTTTGGTTTTTTTCTTGAAGAACCAGCTCCTGGTTTCATTGATCTGTTCTATTGTATATTTTGTTTCTATATTACTTATTTCCGCCCTAATCTTTATTTTTTCCTTCCTTCTGCTGGCTTTAGACTTCATTTGTTGTTCTTTTTCTAGTTCCTCTAGGTGTAAGGTTAGGTTGTTTGCGCTTTTTCTTTGCTGCTGGAGGTATACCTCTGTTGCTATATACTTCCCTCTTAGGACTGCTTTCGCTTTGTCTCAAAGGTTTGAATCATTGTGTTTCACTTTTATTTGTTTCCATGTACTTTTAAAACTTCTTCTTATATTTCCTGGTTGACCCATTCATTGTTTAATAGCATGTTACTTAACCTCCATGTCCATGTGCCCTTCCCAGATTTTTTCTTGGGGTTGACTTCTAGTTTCGTAGCAGTGCGGTGAGAAAAGATGTATGGTGTGACTTTGATCTTTTCAGTTTGTTGAGGCTTGTTTTGTGGCCCAATATGTGATCTGTTCTGGAGAAGGTTCCATGTGTACTTGGAAAGAATGTGTATTCTGCTGCTTTCGAATGTAATGTTCTCAATGTATCTCTTAAGAGTTTAAGAGATACTGTTGTCATACTGTTCCAGTCTAACACTCAAAGCCATTGTTCCCTTGTTGACTTCCTGTTAAGATAATTTGCCCATTGATGTAAGTCAGGTGTTAAAGTGCCCTACTACTTTGGTATTATCGATTAGTCCTTTATGTTTGTTATTAACTGTTTTATGTGTTTGGGAGCTCCTATGTTGGGTGCATAAATATATATTTTTTAAAGATTTTATTTATTTTAGGGGCACCTGGGTGGCTCAGTGGGTTAAAGCCTCTGCCTTCCGCTCAGGTCATGATCCCAGGGTCCTGGGATTGAGCCCTGCATTGGGCTCTCTGCTTGGCAGGAAGCCTGCTTCCTCCTCTCTCTCTGCCTGCCTCTCTGCCTACTTGTGATCTCTGTCCGTCAAATAAATAAATAAAATCTTTAAAAAAAAAGATTTTATTTATTTTAAAGAGCGAGGGGGCTGCAGAAAGGAAGGGAGAGACAGAGAATTTCAAGCCGACTCTGAGCTGAGCAAGGAGCCCAACATGGGACTCAGCCCCTTGACCCTGAGACTGTGACCCAAGGCCAAACCAAGAGTTGGACACTTAACTGAGTCACCTAGGTGCCGCAGGTGCATACATATTTACAATTGTTATATTTTCTTGTTGGATTGTCCCCTTTATTATAGTGTCCTTCTTTGATTCTTATTATAGGCTTTTTTTTTAATTAACATATAATGTATTATTAGCCCCAGAGGTACAGGTCTGTGAATCGCCAGGTTTACACACTTCACAGCACTCATCATAGCACATACCCTCCCCAATGTCCATAACCCCACCACCTTCTCCCTAACCCCTCCACCCGGCAATCCTCAGTTTGTTTTGTGAGATTAAGAGTCTCTTATGGTTTGTCTCCCTCCTGATCCCATCTTGTTTCATTTATTCTTTCCTACCCCACATGTTGCCTCTCAGTTTCCTCATATCAGGGAGATCATCTGATAATTGTCTTTCTCCAATTGACTGATTTCGCTAAGCCTAATACCCTCTAGTTCCATCCATGTCGGTGCAAATGGCAAGATTTCATTTCTTTTGACGGCTGCATAGTATTCCATTGTGTATAGATATACCAGGTATTCTTTATCCATTCATCTGCTGATGGGCATCTAGGTTCTTTCCATAGTTTGGCTATTGTGGACATTGCTGCTATAAATATTCGGGTGCATGTGCCCCCTTTGGATCACTACATTTGTATCTTGGGGTAAATACCCAGTAGTGCAATTTCTGGGTCGTAGGGTAGCTCTATTTTCAACTTTTTGAGGAAGCTTCATGCTGTTTGACAGAGTGGTTGCACCAGCGTGCTTTCCCACCAACAGCATAGGAGGGGTCCCCTTTCTCTGCATCCTCGCCAGCATCTGTCATTCCCTGACTTGTTAATTTTTACAGGCTTTCTTTTAAAGTCTATTTTGTCCAATAGAAGTATTGCTACTCCAGCTTTCTTTTAGATCTGTTTGCCTGATAAATGTTTCTCCATCTTCTCACTTTAAATCTGCAGGTGCTTTTAGGTCTAAAATGAGTCTCTTGTAGGCAGCATGTACACGAATCCTGTTTTTTCTTTTTTCTTTCTTTTTTTTTTTAAGATTTTATTTATTTATTTGACAGATCACAAGTAGGCAGAGAGGCAGGCGGAGAGAGAGGAAGAAGCAGGCTCCCTGCTGAGCAGAGAGCCCAGTGCAAGGCTGGATCCCAGGACGCCAGGATCATGACCTGAGCTGAAGGCAGAGGCTTCAACCCACTGAGCCACCCAGGCGCCCCACAAGTCCTGTTTTTTAATCCATTCTGTCACACTATGTCTTTTGAGTGGAGCACTTAGTTTATGTACATTCAGTGTCATCATTGATAGATGCGTATTTATTGCCATTTCATTATTTTGTCATTTGTTTTGAAGCTTTTCTCTCATCCTTTCTTTTTCTCTTTCATAGTTTGCTGGTTTTCTTAGAGATATATTTGGATTTCTTTCTCTTTGTTCTTTGCATATTTGCTGGTGGTTTTTGATTTGTGGTTACCAAAAATTAAGTTTGTACAAACCTTTTAGTCCTATAGTAGTCTCTATTAAGTGGACGGTCATTTAGGTTTGAACCCAGTCTTTTCTCCTGTCTTCCCCACATTTGTAGGTATAGGGTGTCATGTTTTACATCCTTTTATTTTGTGTTCTCCTTGACTAATTTTTTACAGAAATACTGATTTTTACTGCTTGTGTGTTTCCTACCCTCATACAACCATTTTTGGTCTTTCCTTTCCACTCAAAAAGTCCCCTGTAATATTACTTGGGAAGCTGGTTTAGTTGCCATGAACTCCTATAGGTTTTGTTTGTCTGGGAAACTCCTTACCTCTCCTTCCATTCTGAATTATAGCCTGGCTGGAAAGAGTATTCTTGGTTGCATGTGTATCCCATTCAGCACTTTGACTATAGCACACCGCTCTTTTCTGGCTTGGAAAGTTTCTGCTGAAAAATTTGTGGCTAGCCTTTTGGGGTTTCCTTTCTCTACATAACTATCTTCATTGGTATTACCGCTTTTAATATTTTTTCCTTATCACTATATTTTACCATTCTAATTATAGTATGTCTTGGTGTGGATCAGCTTTTGTTGATTTTACTGGGGGTTCTCTGTGTCTCCTGGATCTAGTTATCTCTTCTCTTCCCCAGATTAGGGAAGTTTTGAGCTATTCTTTTCTTTCTTTTTTTTTTTTTTTTAATAAGATTTTATTTATTTACCTATTTGAGGGAGAGAGTGAATGCGGTGGCCAGGAGAGGGAGAGGGATTAGTGGACTCCACAATGAGTGCAGAGCCCGACTTGGGGCTCGATCCCATGACCTTAAGACCATGACATGAGCCAAAATCTACGGTAGGATTCTTTACTGACTGAGCCACCCTGGTGCCACTCAGCTGTTACCTCTTCAAGTAAATTCTCTGCCTCCTTTTCTCTCTCTCTCTCTCTCTCCTTCTCTTCTAGGGCTCCTATAATAGATGTTGTTACGTTTGATGAAGTCAGTGAGTTCTCTAAGTCTGTTCTTATTTGCATAAGTCTTTTCTCTCTTTTGTTCAGCTTGATTACTTTCCATTACTCAGTCTTCTTCGTCACTAATTCTTTCCTCTGCTTCTTTCATCCTGCTCTTAATTCTATCAGTTCAGTTCCCTCTGCCATGTTATTCCTTTCCTCTGGGTCAAGGGTCTCAGTGTTGTCCTCTACTCTTTTCTCAAGTTCAGTATCTTTAGGATCATTGCTTTAAATTCCCTATCAGGCATGTTACTTCTGTTTCTGTTAGAACTCTGGCTGTGGCATTGTCCTTTTCTTTAATTTGGGACACATTCCTCTGTCTTCTCATCTTGTCTAAGTCTCTGAGCCTGTTTATGTGTGTTGGGAAAATCAGCTACATCTGTTCTTGAGGGTAATGGTCTTATGAGGAAGAGGTCTTGCAGTCCCCTGCTGTTGTAGTGCCTCCTGCTCCCCAAGGCCTGGCGCTTCTGGGACTGTCTCCAGCGTGTGCTTGTGAGCACTCTGCAGGTGTTTCCTGGACACTTTATCCTTCAGGTTAGTCCTCTGCAGAGGCCCTCTTCGCCTGTTGTGGGCAGTGTTTGGTTCCTGGCCTGATGTGGTGCATTTTAACTAGATGTATTCTGGTTTGCTTGTGAAATGGGACCGTCATCACTGCCACTAGAACTGAGGCCTCAAAAACCTCAAGGCTGGGGTGATGCGGTGTGGGTAGGGTTTGCACTGGCTTTTGGGGGGACACGGGCCTGCCATGCTGGGATTTAGGCAAATGTGACTGGGATGGTTGGTTCTCCTGGAACACAGGGCTGGGGAGAGGCTTGACCTCAGCAAGTTAGGTAATGAGTGTGGGCCCTGGACTGGTTCCCGTGGGTGTGTCTCTGTGTCATTGCCGAGGATGGACAAGAGAAATGGCTCCTGCCAGTTCCTTTGTTCCCAGAGGGGTCTCTCCATGATCACTGCTTCTCTGGGACACGCTCTGAGATGAGCCCCGAACCTCCCCACTGTGTGCCGCAGGGGCTCTTCAGATCCCTCTTTCATCCGTGCTGCGTGTCTGAGGACTATTTGCCCTTCCTCCTCTCCAAGAGTAACCACGATAGCTTCCGTGCTGTATCCCAGCCGACTCCATTGACCTTTAGAACTCCCAACTTCAAGTCCTGCTGGTTGCAGCAACTCGTGAGATTTGGTCTTTCTTACTTTCCAAGCCAGTTGCTATGGGGATTCGTTTTCCCCGTGCGCTCCCCCGTGTGCCAGTCTGTCTCTTGCCGGTCTCTGCAACCACAGCCCCTCCTCCCTGCTGCAGTGGCCAGGATCCGTTTCTCTTCCAAGCCGCATCTCTGCACTCCCACCTTCCTCAATGTGGCCTTTTCTCTCGCTTTGGTGGTGGAATTTGTTCTGTCAGTCTTCAGATCAATTTCTGGGATATTTAGGATGACTTGATGATGGTCTAGTTTTATTTGTGGGACGGGGCAAGCCTAGGGTCCTCCTCTGCTGTCATCTTCCCCTCTGAAAATAAAGTTTTATTGGAATATAGGATGCTCATTTATGTATTGTCTATGGCTGCTTTCGTGCCACAATGGTAAGGGGTTTGTCATGTAGACCGTACGATACACAGGATTTAAAGTATTTACTGTCTAGCCCTTTACAGAAAATGTTTCCCAACGTCTGTTCTGATCCATGAGCATGGTGTATCTCCATCTTCTCAGGGTTTGTAATTTTCTCCATAGTGTTTTTCTAGTTTTTCACTGAGGGTGTCTTTTGTTAAATTTATTTCGAGATATTTTGCTTTTTTCTTTAATTATAAGTGGAATTTATTTTTAACTTTATTTTCAAGTTGTTTGTTACAATTATGTAGAAATACAAGTTACTTGTATATATTGACTTTCTACCCAGAGACTTTCTTGAATTCACTTATTAAATTTCAAAGATCTTTTCGTAGATTACTTTGGATTTTCTACCATTATAGCAACTCTTGTGCTTTTTTTAAAAACTAAATTTTTTGGCTCTTTCTTCTTCTTGCCTTATTACTTTGGCCACGACCATCAGCACAGAGTTGAGTAGAAGTTGGAGAACAGCTATCTTTTCTTGTTCCTGACTTAGGAGAAATGTGTTCAGTATTTTATCATTATGTATAGTGCCAGCTGTAGCTTTTCCCAGATGTCTTTGATCAGACTGAAGAAGTTCCTCTCTTTCCCTACTTTGCTGAGAATGTTTTGTTATGAACGGATGTTGGATTTTGTTAGAAACTTTCTCTACATCTTTTGTTTTTTGTTTTTAATTTAAGATTTATTTATTTATTTGACAGAGAAAGAGAGATCACAAGTAGGCAGAGAGGCAGGGGTCCGGGTGAGGGGAAGCAGGCTCCCTGCTGATCAGAGAGCCCGATGTGGGGCTCGATCCCAGGACCCCAGGATCATGACCTGAGCCGAAGGCAGAGGCTTAACCCACTGAGCCACTCAGGCACCCCTCTCTGCATCTTTTGTGATGATTGTGTGGGTTTTTCTCCTTTAATCTATTAATGAGAATTGCACAGATTCTAGCATGTGAAACAACCTTTCGTTCCGGGGGGGGGAGGGGGCAGAAATCCCACTTGTTCTTAATATATTATCCTTTAATGTATTGTTGGATTCTCTTTGCTCATATTTTGTTGTGGAATTCTGCACCTGTTTTCATGATGAATACGATCTGTCATTTTCTTTTCTTGTAATATATCCTTGTTGGGTTCTGGTATCCAAGGTATGCCGGCTCCAAAAGATGAATTGAGAAGTAGATCCTTCTCCTATGTTCTGTTAAAAAGTCTGTGTAAGGTTGATAATGATCTCTTCTTTACTGTTTGGTGTAATTTAGTAGTGAAGACATTGGGCTAGTTATCTTTGCGAGGAGTTTTGAAATGATAAATTCAGTGTCTTAAACAGATGTGACTTGTTACATGATTTGTCCTACCAGTTTTAGATAGTTGTGTTCTGTGGGTTTTTAAACTTTTTTTAATTAAAAAATAATTTTTTTAAGAGAGGTGGTGCCTACGTGCATGCAAGTAGTGGGGGAGGGGCAGAGAAAGGGAGAGACAGAATCTTAAGCAGGAAAAAGGCCGACAACACGGGGCTGTATCTCACCACCCTGAGATCATGACCCGAGTTGAAAACAAGAGTTGGACATTTAGCTGTCTAAGCCAACCAGGTGCCCCGAATTATTTTAATTTTAATTTTTATTATTTTTTAAAAAATATTTATTTATTTGAGAGAGAGGAGAGCGAGCGAGCATGAGGGGAGAGAGGTTAGCGGGAGAAGCAGACTCCCCGCCGAGCAGGGAACCGGACGTGGGACTCAATCCCGGGACTCCAGGACCATGACCTGAGCCGAAGGCATTCACTCAACCAACTGAGCCACCCCGGCGCCCCTTAATTTTTATTTTCAAGCACTCTTTACAGTGCAGGGCTCAGATGTGCGCCTGGAGATCAGGCATCACCCGTTGCACCTGTTCCACCAACTGAGCCAGCCAGTTGTGTTTTTGAAGAAATGTATTTCATCTGCATTGTCAGATTTGGTAGAGTTGTTGGCACTGTTCCCTCATTCTCCTCTCAGTGGATCTGCGGTGGTACCCCTGTTTCATTTTTGATGTTGGCAGTTCAGGAGTAAAACGTAGAAAGCACAGACCTAAACTTGGGGTGCCAGGGTCCCGGAGTTAGGCAGTCCCGTGCTGACGCCGTTCAACTCAGCACCAGAATTGGTGCTTGGGCTGGACCTTTGGAGCAGAAGCCATTTGCGGGACAGGAGAGGAAAACGAGGGAGGGGGCTGATGTTGGGGGGCTGGGTAATTCATTTTCCAGGCTGAGTGGGTCCAGACACGGGAATCGGGGCTCGAGTGTCAGGTGAGCTGATCAGTATTATGTGCCCTGACTAGCACCTGTGCCTCAGAGGACTTCTCAAGTGGATTCCATTGTATTTAAAAGGAGAGCTCGGCCAGGGAGCAGACTATTTTAATAGATTCTCTCCTTGGGGCCATTCTCACCCAACCTGCTTTTGTGAAGCTTCCAGACAATTGTTCTAAAGGATTAAACAGATATCTTAGATGGCTTGCCTGATAATGTTAAGCTACTAAACAGTAAGTATGTTTTACATGCAGGGTTTATATGAAAATAATTTGTCCTGGTTCTGGTTTAGCTGGGTTTGGAGTTCTGCGCCATCCCTCTTCTCTTTCACCTGTGATAACAGAAAGTACAATTTTGACGTCGTTTCTTTCTTTCTTTCTTTCTTTTTTTTTTTTGATGTCGTTTCTACTCATTCTTCAGGTCATCTGTGTCCCTTTTCCAATTTACTTGATTTTCCTTCCTGTGGTCCGTGTCTTTTTCACTTTCTTCAACTTGAACTGCTTGGGAAAACCCCAAGGTTTTCTGTAGAATGAGCTTGTTTTTTTAGAAAAATGACATGTGCTCATCTTTGAAACATTGAAACAATACAGAAAAGACCAAAGATGATAGCCAAAAAAACAAGCTCATGCGGTCACCATCATGAAATAACCATTTTCATTTGAAAATATTCCCCTCAGTGTGTCTGAGGAGAAGTTCTGGCTGACATACCACTTTGGTATGTCATACATACTACCGCATGAGCTGGTTTGATGTTCCGTGGTTGCATTTCACACAACCAAACTTAACGTAAGAAAAAGAAGCCAAAGTGAACTAAGAACTTGCTGAACGTGGAGTAACAATTTCTTCATCACAAGGAATAGTAGTTTCTGAAATCTCCCTGAGGGGCACCTGGGTGGCTCAGTCCGTTGAGGTTCTGCCTTTGGCCCAAGTCATGATCTCAGGGTCCTGAGATCAAGTCCTGCATCCCCCTGGCTCTCTACTCAGTGGGGAGCCTGCTTCTCCCTCTTACTCTGTGCTCTTGTGCTCTCTCAAATAAATAAACGAAATCTTTTAAAAAAATAAAAATAAAATAAAATCTCCCTGAAAGATTAAGAAGATATGTGATGAGAATTCTGGGAGGTTAGAATCGCCCTCCCTTCTTTTTTAAATTGCATATTTCAGTCTTAGTTGCTCATTAACACTGGGACACGAAAGAGGAAAAAGTAAATTACATCACACTTCGGGCCACCCCGCCTTTTCCTCACTCCCAGTGCTTGTTAGTGTTTTGGGTCACTTATTTCCAGTCACCATAATCTCTCCGTTGTTTACTCTTGCTTCTGTGTTCATGGGGCTTTACTGCCCCCCCACAATTTCTGTACTACAGTTCCTTCTGTCCCCACTTCTTTATTGTGGTTCCTCACGTGGTTGGATGTATTTTAACTGCAGGCACTTGTCCCCAGCAGGGGCTCTGAGGTGTCAGATCTCTTCCATTTTTGAAAACTTAATTGTCTTTCTCTCCTCTAGCCTCCCACCATCTTAAAGTTGAAGGGTTTGCGGTCTTAAATTCCAGCTTCTGACGATGCCATCACTTTTCTCATCTCCTTCTCCCCTCCAGAGATTCCCCCTTCGAGACCTACTGCCCCAGTCTTGACTGATGGCCATCCGTAGCCTGAACGTTTGAAATATTTATTGAAATGGTGTTTATTGACCTAGAGTCACTTGGGTCTTCAGCTTGGCATTCTGTCAAGGACAAAGTCTGGAGAGGTTTATTTGTAAACCAGTATTAAAAAGCACGGTAGTGAGCACCACCTGCTCTTTTGGGGCTTTGCTTTTGGTCGTTAATATATATATATATTTTTTAAGATTTTATTTATTTATTTGACAGAGAGAGATCACAAGTAGGCAGAGAGGCAGGCAGAGAGAGAGGAAGGGAAGCAGGCTCCCTGCTGAGCAGAGAGCCCGATGCGGGACTCGATCCCAGGACCCTGAGATCATGACCTGAGCCGAAGGCAGCGGCTTAACCCACTGAGCCACCCAGGCGCCCCTAATATATCTTTTTTAGAGAAGGGGAGAGACAGGCGGGGAGTGGCAGAGGGGGCAGGAAGCACACAAAGATCTCTTTGTTCTTAAAGACCATGTAAGACATAGTCCATTCAGTTGGTGTATCTTGATGAATTTACCCTGACTAAAGGGTATTTAGGTGACTTTTAAATTGTGTTTACTGTTAGGTGCCTGGGTGGCTCAGTGGGTTAAACCTCTGCCTTCGGCTCAGGTCATGATATCAGGGTCCTGGGATCGAGCCCCACATCAGGCTCTGGGCTCAGCAGGAAGCCTGCTTTCCCCTCTCTCTCTGCCTGCCTCTCTACTTGTGATCTCTCTCTCTCTCTCTCTCTCTCTCTGTCAAACAAATAAATAAAATCTTTAAAAAAAAAAAATTTGTGTTTACTGTTCGTGACAGTGCTACAGTGAATAGCTTTGTATATATGCCATTGTCAGTCTACTTGTAGGATCAATTCTGGGAAATGAAATTTCTGTGTTTAAGTATATATGGTCATTTAATTTTTCTTTCTTTCTTTCTCTTTCTCTTTCTCTTTCTCCTTCTCTTCTCTTCTCTTCTCTTCTCTTCTCTTCTCTTCTCTTTTCTTTTCTTTTCTTTAAGTAGGCTTCATCCCCAGCTTGGGGCTTGAACCTCCTAACCTTGAGATTTACGGGTCACGTGCTCTACTGACTGATACAGCCACACACCCTGATACGGTCATTTTAATATGAACTAATACATCGACACAAAAGTGGGTTTCTAATGATACGTAAGGAATAAAGACTTAAAACAGCACCCCATTTTAGAAGCAGAGCGTTCCTTGCCGAGGCCTCTGTATCTCCCGGGGGGCCCCTCGGTACTTCTGTTTCTCTCCCTCCCCTGCAAGTGTTCTGCAGTATTATGCCTCTGCTTTTTGTTACAGAGTCATGCATATTTGTGAAACCAAAACAACATGTAACGTTTTCTATATTTCTGTGTTGGTTATGAATTATGTCCTGTTGTTTGTATTCCTCTGCGACTTGCTCTTTTTACCCAACACTGAGGTTTTTCCCTAAGTATCCATGTCGATGCTCGAGCCCTGGTCCATTTCTTTTCCCTGCTGGGCAGTATTGCTGTGCGTGAGCCTACCTGCCGCAGCGTACCTGTT